GACCCTCGATACGCTAAGCCAGCGAGGATTTACACGATTCCACATGTTCCTTGGAATGACGCAGGATGGAAATACTCCCAGAAGGAGAAGGAAAAAGTTATCGCTTTCCTGAAAGAAAAGATGGTTTCCCACGTTGCGGAGCCGTCTGATAGCGCTTATGCTAATCGATGGTTCTTCCTACGAAAGCCAAATGGCAAGGTCCAATGGATCCAGGACCTTCAGAAGGTCAACGCGGTGACGATACGAGACGTGGACTCTGTGCCACACGTCGATTTACTGGCAGAAGGCGCCGCAGGTAGGTCGATTTATACGATCTGTGATCTGTTCTCAGGTTATGATGAGGTACCGCTTGACCCTAGGGACAGGCACCTCACGGCTATGCATACGCCATTGGGACTAATACAAATGATGGTTGTCCCTATAGGTTGGACTAATGGGGTAGCCGTTTTTCAGAGAGCCATGGTAGCCGTCCTCAAGGACTTCATCCCTAATAAGGTTGAAGTTTTTCTGGATGACTTTCCTATAAAAGGGTCAGTAGACAGGGATGAGACAGAGGTTGTACCTGAAGTTAGGAGATTCGTCAAGCAGCACCTAACAGATATTTGCGCGGTATTCGAGCAGTTGGACGATGCGAATTTAACAGTCAGCGGAACAAAGAGCCGATGGGCCGTCTCGACTATTAAGATCTTGGGCTTTATCTGTGACTCGCAAGGGCGCCGAGCAGATCCGCCGAAGTTAGACAAACTTCTGAACTGGCCGTCAGCGTTACATAGCCCAACCGAGGTCCGACAGTTTCTAGGAGTGGTCGGTTACTGGCGTATATTCATACAGGGGTATGCGGAGAAGGCTGAGCCATTGAGGTTACTCCTTCGAAAGACTGAAAAATTCTACTGGGATTCTTTGCAGGAACTCGCTATGCAAAAACTTAAAGACGAATTTAGGAAGGGAGGACGCGTGTTGGGCGTGCCATTCTTTGACGATGAGACCGAGAGACCCTTCATAGTTTCCACGGATGCTCGACCATGTTCAGTAGGTGGTTTACTGTCTCAGAAGGACGCTGGAGGGAAGGAAAGACCGTTAAGATTTGAGAGTAGGACACTTAATACGGCTGAGCATAACTACAGTCAATTCAAGAAGGAAGTGTTAGCTGTTCTCCGGTGTCTAGACACGTTCAGACACTATATCTATGGGCGACGGTTCATCTTGAGAGTAGACCCCACCGCGGTTGCCTCTGTCCTCCAGAAGGACTTTAGTCTGACGGACCCGACCATCGCTCGACGGTTAATACGGATTCGACTATACGATTACACGGTTGAGAGGATATCTGGCACTAAAAATACCGTGGCAGACGGACTTTCGTGCATCCCTCTTGAGGCCGAGCGCCCGATAGTAGTTGGGGCCCTGACTATGGCGGAGCCAAGACCCACCGAGCGTTTTCTGGTTAACCTTTACGAGGGCAAATACCGAATGATCGGGCTATATTTGTCAGGAAAGGAGAGTCAAGAATCAGATATCCGGAGACAAGCGGCCCAGTACTGCCTTAGAGCTGGCCATCTATTTCGAAGGCCATCTGTTTCGAAGGCCGAGCGGCTCGGGGATGCCCTTACGAGTAGTCTGTGACCCTGAGGAGAGACAAACAATAGTTGCGGAGCTTCACGACGGGGTAGTCGGAGGACATAGGGGAGTCAAAGGAACCTTCGAAAAGGTACGCAGGTTGTACTGGTGGGAAGGACAATATAAGGACGTCGAGGGTATTGTAGGACCTGCGAAGAGTGCCAAAAGAGAGCTCTTGTGAAATACAAAGAGCCACTTCATCCATCCTATCCGACCAGACTAGGAGAGAAGGTACACATCGATCTAGTGAAAATGCCGAAAGGGGTAGGCAATATGAACTACGTCGTGAACATACGAGACGATTTCACTGGGTTCGTGGACGGTAGACCTATCAGGAGTAAGGCGGCAAAGGAAGTAAAGGACTTTGTCCTAGAGTACTTATCCAGGTATGGTTGTGTCAGCAAGATAGTAATGGACAGAGGGGCGAAATTCTTAGCCGACGAGGTTCAGAGCGTGTTCAGGAGAGCCGGGGCGAGAGTTTCGATAGCCACCGCCTATCACCCACAGTCGAACTCCCCAGTAGAGAGGGGACATCAGACTCTGATAGCGTTACTGTCCAAGTGGTGCAAGGATAAGGACAGTGATTGGCCACGATATTTTCGAAACGCAATATAGGCGGACAACGTCACGGTCCGGGCTAGTACCGGATACCCACCGTACACCTTGTGGTTTGGGCGACATTGTCCGCTTCCCATAGAGTTTCACGTCGACAGCTGGACAACCGTCGACTGGGCGGAGGAGATGTCCAGAGAGGAACTCATAGCTGCCCGAACAAGACAGATAGCCTACAGTTTGGAAGATAACCTTATGACAGCGGCAGATCGTCTGGCAGTAGAAAGAGACAAAGGTAAAGAGAGATGGGATAAGAACGTGAGAATCAGGAAGGAGAGGGTGAGTGTAGGAGATATGGTCCTTCTCTACGATGCAGCGCTGGAAAGAACCTGGACCGGAAAACTCGCCAATAGATGGATGGGACCTTACAGAGTGGTTGAGGCACTCGACTGGGGTGCATATATGATAGCAGAATTAGACGGATCTAAGTGGAAGGACCCAGTGGCGGGTGCTAGGTTAAAGCTGTTTAGGCCCAGGCCCGCGCCCACCTTATCGCTGACCAGCCCGAGAGGGAAAGGAAAAGCCATAATGGAGGATGGAGCCCCCTTGGGGCAATTCGAGACAGGGGAGAGTTCCAAGAAAAGGAAAAGAATAGAGAAGAGAAAGGTCAAAGGGTTAGCTTTAGGAAGAGAGAAGAGATGGTTATTCGTGCTCAAGCGAGCTAGAC